CGGTGACTGTCTCGAGTCCCCCCCCTCTGGTGAAGCAGAAGTCAAGTCTTCAGCTTCTGGTGTGGCTGTGTGCCCTCAGCATGAGGCGAGCAAGGCACCAGGCACAAAAAGAAGACTGGCTCTGGACTGTGCTCAGTGGGGGGAAACCTGGCAGGTCGAGACAGCCTCTGCCAACCTGTGGGCCAGCCCTGCATGTCCCTCCCTGCACTCCCTCTCCGGTCTGCAAATGAAACACCCTGGTCACTCCGACACCAGAGGCAACAAGATCCGCCCCTTCTTCTGCTCTCTGTTCTTGAGCTCACATTTATGCAAGCCTCCGTCCTTCGTGCGAGAGGCTGTTCTCATGATGCAGAAGAGCTGTTCTCATGATTCAATACCCGTGCACATTTCCTGTTCTACACAACTGCTTATCGTCTCAGGTGCCAGTTCTGCCAAGCAGCTCTTCCTTCTTCACCGCAGCATCACTTCATCGCCTTTACATTTAGCAAGATCGTAGGAAAGGTACTGGCACTTGATGAGAAGCTTGGCTTTCCTGTTTGTGTACAAATTGCTTCTCACCTAGCATGTACATGACCATTTTGTACACGGATTCCTCATTTGGCTCAATCTGGCTTTTTAATTTGGAACTAAAGAAAAAATATAATAAAACTATTAAATTCCATTTTACTTCTTCCGTCTGATGTGATAAACTTTTTGCCTTTTTCAAAAGCGTCAGCGTTTTTATAACAGCAGCACATGGCTTGTCCTCCTCACTAGATTTCAAATGAATGCATCTAAGTATTGCTGTCGTTTCCTATTTGTGTGCAATTTGTGTGGGAAAACATCCTCTGATTATTTCAATGATCAATGTGGTTACCGCCCCTTCCCACCCCCCCCTCCTCTTGTGTTCTGGGGCGGTGGGTCCCCTGCCCCATTAGTCACAGAACCGGGTGAAACTGGGCTGCGGAGAATGCCTGAGGGGGTGACCTTGGACACAGCGAGGGATGAAAACAAATCCCTGTTCGGGGCAGCAAGCGAACTGCTCTTCAGCCTGTCCAACCTTCCCTGGCGCCCTTACATAGCACGTATGAGGCTGTGGAGCTGGAGGAAGAGGGGGATGTGGATGTGGCTGAAGGTCCACCCTGTAAGAGAGGTTGCCCGGGGCTAGTCAGACTGCTCCCCATATCACTACAACATCAGTTATGAAAAAAAGAAGGGCTGTCATCATAGGGGACTCCCTTCTGATGAGAAACCGAGGGCCAGACAAAGCTGCTCGGAACCATCCCATGAGGAGGTGTGTTGCCTGCCTGAAGCCTGGGAGACAGACATTACTAAGAACATCACTCGCCTGGTCCAACCCTCTGATTGTTGTTCTTTACAAGTTTTCCGCATTGGAAATGATGAGGCAGGCACAAGAAGTTCTTGGGCGATGTAAAGGGACTTCAGGGAAGAGTGCTGAAGGGATCAGGAGCACAGGTAGTGTTCTCCTCTGCCCTCTCAGTTGGTGACTGGGATCTGTGTGAAAGGAGGAGGATGGACATGCTGAAGGAATGGCTTTGCGAATGGTGTTGTACTCAGGGATTTGGGTACTATGGTTTGGGATGCAGCCTTGAGAAAGGGGGAATGCGGATGGCGAACGGAAGTCGACTGACTAGAAGGGCCGCAAACATTCTGGGGAGCAAGCTGGCTGGGCTGGTTAGCAGGGCTTTAAACTAGATATGATGGGGGAAAGGAGTGTACTGGTGACAGAGAAGAGTGTGGGAACGCTGACACCGTGGGAGGCGTTAGGAGAAAACCCCAGACTTGTCCTGGAGGTGTTAGGGACGGCTCCTCCGAGAAAGCAGCAAGGTCAATAGCCAAGCTGAAGTGCCTTTATACCAACGCATGCAGCATGGGAAATAAACAGGAGGAATGAGAAACCGTGACGTAATGGGGAAAGCATGACCTAATTGCTATCACGGAAACGTGGTGGGACGAAACCCACCATTGGAATACTGTGACTGAGGGCTACGGGCTTTTCAGAAGGGATAGACAGGGTAGGAGGGGTGGGGGAGTTGTCCTCCGTGTTAGGTAGTGGAGAGATTGCAACGCGCTGTGTCTGAGGAACAGCCATGATCAGGTTGAGAGACTGTGGGATAAAATCAAGGATCAGTCCAGCAAAGGGCATCTAGTGGATGGGGTCTGCTACACGCCACCTGATCAGACAATCCAGGAGATTCCTGGAGTCCGCTGATGATAACTTCCTAGGCCAGGCATTAGGTGGATCGACCAGAGGTGAAGCCTTACTGGACCTGGTGCTCACCAGTGCGGACGAGAGCATTGGAGAGGTTAGGACTGGGGGCAGCCCGGGCTGTAGTGACCGTGCCCTGGCGAAGTTTGTGATCTTGAAGAACGCAGGCCTGGCAAAAAGCAGAGTCAGTACCCTGAGCTTCTGGAGGGCAAGCTTCCGGCTGCTCAAGGAATTGCTGGATGGGATCCCCTGGGAAACTGTCTTTAAGGGCACAGGCACAGAACAAAGCTGGCAGCTCTGTAAGGAAACCCTTCTGAGAGCACAAGAGCTCTCCATTGTCCAGCACAAGAAGTCGAGCAGGGGAGGCAGACGAGCGACGTGGCTGAGCAAGGACCTGCAGCTTAAACTGAAAGGAAAAAGGAAATGTACAGGAAGTGGAAGCAGGGTTGTGTGTCCTGGGAGGAATAGAGGGTTGTTGCCCGTGTGTGTAGAGATAGGATTAGGAAAGCCAAGGCACAGAGGGAGCTTGCAGCGGCTGAACTCGGTAAGGGATGTGAAAGATAACAAGAAGGGGTTCTATATACATAGATACATAGATACATAGGCTGGAGGAGACAGGCCAAGGAGAGACCCTCTGATGAAAGGCAATGGAGAGCTGGCTTCCTCAATGGAGAAGAAGCTGAGGTACTCGATGAGTGCTTTGCCTCAGTCTTCACTGGTGGGCTGGCTTCCCATGTCTGGCAGGACTCTGAACCTCTAGGTGAGGCTGTGGGGAGTGGATTCCGTCCCACTGTACCAGTAGAACGTGTCTGAGACTTTCTCATGAAACGGAATGTCTATCAGTTCATGGGTTTGGATGATATCTATCCTAGGGCTCTGAGAGAGATGGCTGATGGGTTGCCGAGCCGTACTCCATCCTATCTGAAAAATAACGGCTGTCTGGTGAAGTCCCCGGTGACTGGAAAAAGGGAGACGTTACTCCCATTTGTAAGAAAGGGAGAAAAGAGGACCTGGGGAACTACAGGCCAGTGAGCCTCCCCTCTGAGCCTGGGAAGATCATGGAGCAGGTCCTTGTAGCAGCTATGTCGAGGCACGTACGAGACAAAGAGGTGATCTGAGACGGCCAACACGGCTTCACCAAGGCAGATCTTGCCTCTCCAGTCTGGCAGCCTTCTACGATGGAGTGACAGCATCAGTGTTTTGGAAATGTGTTCTTGTGCCGGCACAAACTCTAATATTCCAAACTCACTATTTTCCTTAATCCTTTTGCTGTATTTTTTTCCCCCCATAATTCCACCAGTTGTGCCCTCAACTACACTTCCATGTACCGAGAACAAGTGCACTTCCACGTAGCATTCACAATTACACTTTCATATACCATTAACAATTGCTCTTCCCTGTGCCAATTATAAGAGTTTCTCCCACTCCCTTCAAAATCCACAAATCAAACAATATGGTTCTTCAGCTTCCACAAACACCCAGCACTTGGTCTCATGATTGGGGTACCCAGTTATAAAACTGGTCCCATTAGTCCATTTATGTTCCTGGTTTCCCCCTGTCTCACCAGCAGTGTTTCTCCAGTGAGCCAAAACACAACCCAAGGGGTCTTCTCAGTATCTCTTTAGACACCCCTTTTCCCATAACAGCTTCGTAGGTAGCACTTTCACAAAACAGATCCTTAACCATCACAAAGACAGTGACAGCAATCAGTACAATTTATCCTCAGGATCCTTCCTCTCTCTGCCCCCCTCCAGGCCTCAAACTTCCCTCTGTATTCCTTTCCCACAGCTGCATAGCTGCCCACCTGATCACGCCTCTTTCTTCTCCGGTGAACAAGATATCTATCATAAACATCATTTCCATCCATGAGCAGAAATTAGGC